CATACAACTGAGCACAAATCAGGTCAAGCTCTGCATGGCTAATTTCAAAATTTTGAATGCTATTGGATCATCCACTAACAAAAGAGGGTGTATGTACTCTTGGGTGTACGGAAGAGTCATATATATATATATATATATATATATATATATATATATATATATATATATATATATAGAGGGGAATAGAGATAGTATGGAATGCTTATACTTTGTTCCCAAAGTGAGTAGTATCTACTCTCTCTCATCCCAAAATAACTCAATCTAGGTTGGCAGTACAGTAAATCTATATAGATTCCTATCTAGATTCGTTGTCCTAGGATATATCCCATCCTATTTTGGGACGGGAGGGAGTATGTGGAACCAAACTAATGGCAAATTAACAAATGAGATGAGGAGAGAGGGAAGAAAAAGTATTATTTAGTCCTTCTTAAAGAAACTATATGTATTATTATTTAGTATAAATATTCTAATTACCCTTGAACTATTACGGTCAACTGAATTAATTACTCCACTCAACTACAAAACCAAAAAAACAAGACATTCAACAATCTCAACCTTTTACACCGGACAAATAACCTGCCGATCACAATTTCAGGCGGTTTTGGCCTGGGCTGGCTAACGTAACATTGCAACGCACTACTAGAAATATCGTTTCTTTAGGTGGCCAAAAACAATTTTCGTAGGCGGGGAAAGGACCGCTGTTGGTATTTCTTAACGATATTACTAGAAATATAATTTCTAGCAATGGCGTAGAAATACTCCTGGTATATTATGGTTACAGAATTCATCCGCAAGCGCATGGATATACCATTGTAGCATTTCACCCGAGAGTATTCCAAGAGTATCGTATTTCTTTAATCCCGTAGGAAAATTATAGTAAACAAAACTGTACTAATAATTTATATGTTACTTGTAATAATTATAGTCTAAGCAGGGGTTAATATAATCCACAAGGTAGGATGACACACAAGCATAAGTCTACTCATTCTCATATTAAACTATCTAAGCTAAGTGGAAAGAAAATAGAAAAGAATCTATTCCTATACTTCTAGTATACAAATTATACATACATCCTAGTTATAAGATTAACTAGCTAATACACTCTTTCCGATGCCCTCCTAATACTTCGAGAAGCCATCCCTGACTGCCGAGTTCGTTACGACAGCCCGTCGTGACCATACTACCGGGGCTAAATATGGAGGAGTATCCTCCCCAGGAAATTAACTTAGGACTATAACACGTGCGGAGGAATATCCGTACTGAGCTATCACCATCAGCAACCCACCTCTCTTCCGTAGTATATAACCCCAAATAATGATACCCAATAATCTAGACACCACACTTAAACTATCAGATACTACTCTAATATCATCGTCTTGACATAGAGTAATTGCATAAGCAAACACTATACCCGTACCTATGCATCTCCCAGATAAGCTAGCAGTATAATCAATATAACTTAAATATAAAGTAAAGTTGGGATTCATATCCTCGGAAAGTATTTCAATAGCAGAATTGTATAAAGAAGAATATTCTAAATAAAGTACAAGTCTTACAAAAGACGAAAGGAGAGCTACTAGAGCCATACCCGAACTCTTCCGAAGACTTCCGGACTCTGATTTCTATTCTATTCCTACTCCACTAGCTTGAAATACTAAACTAAACTTGAGAGAATATGAGAGAACTTTACTTGAAGTGTGTGGAGGAAGTGAGAAGAGGAGTTCCTTAAATAGGCTGCCAATGACGGTTGTGGTAGTTGGAATGGTCGGAATTGCCCTCCAACCGTCATTGGGGAGTGATCCATGCTGTCCATCCAAAACCTGGATCCAACAGCATCCACGGTGGTTCGGCCGAACCCTGGGCTGGCCCAACCGGCCCAAGCTCTGGCAGGTGGCCCCCACTATTGCTCTTTTCTGTAGACTTGTGAATTTTGGCCCGATTCATTGTGTCATTTCTGAGTTCTTGGCCCATTCATGCATAAGTCTAATTCTTGACATCGTCCGATTGATTGATCATCTGATTTGATGTCGATTCTCCTCCATTTTATGGTTATTCTCTGTCGATTCTCCTCCACTTTATGGTTATTCTCTGCAAAAAGTTAGTAAACCTAATACCAGTGGAATATTATTAGTCTAACACAAATATGCATTGCAAGCATAGCTAGTTCTCCTTTATTTTGGTAGTATTGACAGTCGAAACTGATCACTAACGACCATCAACAACCACTTGTACGCAAAGGCCTGTGAAAATCATCTTTGCAGGCGACATCTCCATCTTCGCAGGTGGTAGATAAACTCGACGGCAAAAAAAAAATTCAGCAAATAAAAAAAAAGACGCACAGCCGCCACCGGCCTCCCTCTACAACCGACGGCTTTCCTTCTCCGTCCACCGCCGCCCCCACATGTGTCGGCGCCGTCGGTTGTCGTCGCCGGCTTGTCATGTTCACGACAGTCGTCATCGTCGTGGCAGTCGGTGCCGTCGTTCTTCGCGCGCCGCTGGGAGAGGGAGGAGTCGAGCCACCACCTCTTCTTCTCGTCGCCGGCGCCTCTCCTCCCCTCCCCGAGACCGGCAGGCGGTGGAGCACGCCTGGGGGGAGCTGGCGGCAGATCCGCGTGCCCGGGGCGTCGCGATCACCGTCGTCGTCGGCTTAGCGCCCTCATCGTTGCGTGTCGAGGAGGGGAGCCGGCGGTGGATTCACAACTTCGCGGTCGTCGTCGTCGTTGAGGAGGGAGCCAGCGGTGGATCCGCGCGTCCGGGGCGTCGCGGTCATCATCGTCGTCGTGGCCATCGGCGCTATCATCGTCGCTCGTCGAGGAGGGGAGCCGGTAGCGAGGAGGGAGCCGGCGGTGGAGGCGGAGAGGAGGGGAGCCGGCGGCGGAGAGGATAAGGATGGTGAGTGGTTGAGGGAGAGAGAGAGATATAGAGGAGGGGGAGGGAAATGAGTGGTGGAGAGGATAAGGATGGTGGAGGAGAGGATAAGGATGAGACTTAGATGTTTTTTGGTGGCATGATTTTTGTAGGCGGACTACGTAAGGTTCCGCCAACGAAAATAAAGGTATTTTTGCAGGCGGACCTCTTACGTGGTCCACCTGGAAAAATTGATTTTCGCAAGCAGATGGCGAGCTCCACCCCGGTTTACATTTTCGTAGGCGGCCATTTGGCTCAGAGGGTCATGTCCGCTTAGGAAAAAAACCCATGTATGCGAAAATGTTTTTTTCTAGTAGTTACGTGGTAAAAAACATATGAAAGGTACAATCAACAATATAGCTAGTCAACAATATTTAATAAAATAATGGTGGTCCCGTACGTCACCCTCTTCTCTTTTCCTCACTATCCTCCCCTAACTCCGAGTCTCCATCTGGCATCCCCAATATGACCATGGAGCGAGGAGGCAATGAGTTGGTGAGCACCCTACATAGCCGGTGGCTGCGACAACAGTGGTGGCAACTAGCGTCGGAACCACTCCTACCCAGTCTCTCCACACCAATAGCAAGAAGATCGATAGAAGATGACGGAGAGGTGAGCTCATGGGATGCGTGCGGATCCCGTCTTCCCTTCTCTTCCTTGGAGGTGAGCACGAGGACTCTGACGGTGCATAGGTGGTAGCAGACGAGCAGCCATGAGCAGAGGAGGCATGGGTGCCGAGGAGCTTGAAGGGACCCAACGGCACGACTCTTGAGAAGGTGTTGTTGAGTAATACTCCCTCCATCTACTTTTGATAGTTACTCCTTCTATACTCATAAAGGAAGTCGTTTAGGATAATATTTAAGTCAAACATTAGAAATATAAATCATGAATAACTCTCAAGTTGCTGAGTTTGAAAATATAAAAATTATATGAATAGATTTGTCTTGAAAAATACTTTCATAAAAGTATACATATATCACTTTAACAAGAGATCAAAGTTGTGTTTTGGAGACCGTGTCGCTGGCCAAAACGACTTCCTTCACGAGTATGGAGAGAGTATATTTCAAATCTGGAAAATTTATTTTTGATAGGCATATTTCAATCCAACAACCTATCATCTTAATGAATTTCTTGGATTTAATGCGTGACTCTCTATTCTTCCACACAGCATCGAGAAATGTAAATATTAATGAAGCGCTTGTTTACGAGGAATGACTAGTAGCATGTTTAAATAGATGATAAGTAGAATAACTTATTCTTGTCTGTGTGCCAAGATGAAATATGACTATCAAAAGTAGATAGAGAGAGTATGAACGAATGACACTGACATAATATCATGATTATTAGATTTCATAAACTTACTTTAATACAAAACAAATAAATAGAACTTTAAAATTTTAATTGAATTTTCTCCTATATGTTCAATATTTGTGACTGAGCTAGTCATACGAAACAAATATTTGCATGGATTATTGAGGCGGATTATTTACTTGAATAACATGATAAACAAATATTTTGAGAAATAAACTTCATTAGTAGAAAAGATTGTTGAGAAATCATACATTTTTATAAGTGTGGAACAAATATCCGTGATAACAATCTGGAAGGCAAAAAAAAGGCAAAAAAGAACACTGAAATACTCCATGCTACACCCGAATTTTTATTATTTTCTGAACTTTTAAAATTTTTAATTTTAAAAACAGACCATCTCCATACTCGTTTCTGAATCCCAACATTTTTGCGACGTCAGTCTGGTGTGGTAGTATTGTTTCATGGCATGGTCAAAAGGTTATTTAGAAAAGAGTTTTGAAATAATTTATTTTTAAAATTAGAAATTTAGAAGGTAATTTCTCCGTCACATTTTAAGTATAGCCATGTTTTTCCACGTCTAACTTTTCGTTTATCTTATTTAAAATTTTTTTAAAAAAATTAAAAATATAAGTCACAAGTAAAGTACTATTCATATTTTAAAAATAATAATTATAAAAGAAATTTAAATAAAACGGCCAATTAAAGTTAAAGTTAGACACGGAATCGGATGATTGCCCTGTAATGAGACCGAGGGAGTATATATACTAGAAAAGAAGAAAAATAAATGGCACACGTCTCTTCACGCCACCACGGGGCACCTCGCCGCCGCCGCCGACGTCGCCATCGCCGAGTTCCTCCACGCAACAATCCGCTTCCCCCGCAAGGAAGCAGCGCCGCGCGGCCGTCTCCGACCTGCGAATCCGCCATTAAATCCGCGCGGCAGGGGGGGTGCTCTGCGTCGCCGGTGGGCGCGCGTAACCTTTTCTCTCCCCTCCCCCCCTCCCCGTCTCCCGATCTGCAGGGCTGCCGGCCGGCCGGCGACCTGAGTTTGGGAGGGTTTGACGCGCGGCTCGCCTCCATCTCCGTCGGAAACGAGCTCAAAGGTATTCGTGTTCCTCTTCCTCACACATCTCTAGATTATCTCAACAAATTTCTCCGTGTACAGTACAGGGGCATCAAAGAATGCTCTTTCCTTTTCCACCTTGAAAGTACTTCGTGAATCATTGATGGGATAATCCCACATTTCTCAAGTACAGTTACTTTTTGGAACAAACTGTAGGAGAGAGAAAATGATTCTTTTCTTTTTATGATTTTCTTTACATGTGGATCCTCCTCTTCATTTTTCCTTTTTATATTCTTGTAGATTTGTAGTATTAGAAAATTTGACTGCCTGTTTGTATCATTTATTTTCTAATAGTTCATCCAATTGCCATCTCATATATTCTGTACTCAAATTCAGTACCGTAGAGAAGATTTTCAGTATGGTTGCAACATTGTACCGTGCTCTGTTATTTGCTTCTTCGAATGAACTCCTTTTCAATGTTTCAATTTTTGTGCCCAAATTCAAGAATTTTTTTATGGTATGTTTAACACTTGTTGTCCATTGCCATCCGTATTACAGAAAATGGTAATCCTCTGTGCTAGCCACATTGGCATCAGTACTACCCGTTCCCGATTCTGGTCAGGATGGTTGTCGCAGAATGGCTGTCCCAGAATGTGTTATCATATCCCTGTAAATATAAGGAAACTCAGAAAGCAAAACAGACGTCAGCGGGTGATCACGTTGTCTAAAAGTTCTGCATTACAAGGTAGGCATGTGGACATTAGTAAATTTCTTTATATATTTACAAAATAAAAAATCTGAAATTGGAATTTACATTTTATTTGTTCATGCACTTATTTGACATTGTGGTCCGTCCTTCTTGTTTTACTATGCCCTCAATGAGAATTTGCAGACTCCATTAACCTCCCCAGCAAAATTTGTTCCTACTAAATTCATTAGGCCCTATTATTTAAATATGCCCCCTGTGTCCTATTGGGATGGGTTGTGCAAGCAACGTTCCCTTTTTCTCATGAGTTCACAATATGGAATCTTCAGTAGCCATTATTATGGCAGCTGTGATACAATCTGAATTTACTTTTTCAGACCATGTGACGTGACTACTATTAATTCAATTGTGCAGATCCTGTTTCCTCTGTGAAGCCTTCACGCCTTCTGCAAACAGATGAACTACGTATATTTCACAACAGTGTACCTGAAGAGATAATTTCAACAGTCAGATTGGAAGAATCTGATGCATTCTATATGCTAGAACTTAGCACGAGCAGAGAATTTAGCTCGTCTTTGCTAGATAAGAACGCTGCCATCTTAATCTGTATAATTGATGCCAATGGTGATTCCCTGTTACAAAGAGTACCAGCAGCCTATTGTAATCATTCTGCACAAGGCAGAGAGGCCGAGAAATTGCTTCCCTTCCAAAGCGGTTCAGTTGATGTTGTCACCTTTAGAGGCTCTAAGCTGCAAAGAATTAAAGAAATCTGGGTTGGTCTTGAGTCAGGTAAACTTTGCACCCAGTTCTTGTATTGATGTTTCATGTGTATAAATTAACTGAAATACGCTCACCTGACGGGAACTTTTCACCATTATTATTTTATTCTTGAAGGTCAGGCTCATGGAGAATAGATAATTTAAGCTTGAAAGTTATCCATGGACAGTTGAATACACCTCCAGATCTGGAGGAAACACCTGAACTCAAGTTCAATGGTCTGCAGTACACATTTGACAAACTCAGCATGCTGCTTGGAGAGGATGGAGCTTCAGTTGTGGAAGCAAGACCTGTGGCTGTCACTGATCTCACGGGAATAAGCCTTTCTGATCTCCAAGAGGGGCAATTATCCTCAGCAAGCACAGCTTCAAGCATCCTTGAAATGAAAGAGGATGGCTTGAAAGAGTATGCTGACCTCAAGCAGTCGCTGCTGCTCTACGATCTTGCTATTGTGATAACAGGTTTCTCTGCCTTCACCTTGGCTTCAAATGACAGTGCTGCCCTCTCGTTCCTTGTTGGAGGCATTGGAGGATTTCTCTATCTGTTGCTGCTCCAAAAATCTGTAGACGGGTTGCCGGCGCTTAATTCACCATCAGAAGCTGGCAGTGCCCAGCCCTCTGTGAAAGGTTTCAGTGGCATAAGGAGGCCATGGTTAATATTGTCACTGTTAATGGTCGCTGGAGCTGTTGCATTGAAATATGGAGCGGGTGGTGACAAACTTGAAATGACGCCAGTCGAGCTCTTTGTTGGCACTGCAGGGTTCCTGGCGAACAAGGTTGCCATTGTTCTCGCGGCATTCAAACCCTTGCAGAGTAATTTGAAGGCTGAAGACCGATCTGGAGACTGAACATAGTCAGGCTGCCTTGAATATACTAACATTTATATAGCGGCTATACAGTATCATGATCTGAATGTTAATTATCGAAGTGCCTAGTTCAAGTTTCCAGAGGGAACTTGAGCCTTATCTCTAGCTCACAAGCACAGCTGCCGATCACAAATGCTCTTCTTGAATCGTAAGCATTTCTTTAAGGGTTCAACTCGGATATGAATTTTTCATCTGAAGTATACCGAAACTTCACTGATTTCACATCACAGGCATGGAGATTGGCAGTGTGGCCTATATCAACATTCCAGACATTTGAACAGATCCAAATGATAATCTAGGTGACATAGTATAGATGTATAGTCACATGATAGTGCCATAGGCTTATAGCAGAACAATATATTCTTCAGTGTATGTAAATCTGGTATACTAATGGTTACAATTTTAATGATTATGTAGCAGTAATACTGCTGCTTCTAGCAGAATATATTATATTATTGGTGTATATAAATCCGGTACTAATGATTCAAATGTAATAATTACAATGTATGAATAGAAATCGCTTTGGTATGCTTCAGTGTCAGCAGCAGATAAGAATTTCCTCCAATTCACAATCTACTGAGACACATGTTTCTATCATTTTATCTGAATTCTGCACAAGTTAATCTGAAGGTGATCTGAATTTTCTCTGAAGTCTGCACCACAAGTTAATCTGAAAGCCTGAACATGATTATCAAAGCTTTGTACCTGCTACCTAGGCAGTTTAGTTTAGTCAAGCAATATGGTCTGTAGTTAACTATACGTCATAGATCTAGTGTGTATAGAATATATTCTTAGGTGTTTAGATCTGGTACTAATGCTTACAATATAATTGTATAACATTATGTGGACAAAATTCGCTTTGATATTGCTCCAATATAGGAAACATTTTTCCTCCATTTCACATCCCACCAGGAGATGTTTCTGTCATGTTCTCTGAAATCTGCAGTCTGCAGCAGAAATATTCAGTGTCCAAGTTTTATGAATGATCAATCTCATTACTCACGCAGGAGTTTTTTTTTTTTTTTGACACGGTAACAAGCTGATTTATTAACCAGCTTCTCCAGGCAAATCGCCGGAGACCAGAGCAGATACAAAATGTAATAAATGATTATCACCCAGATTACTCACACAGGAGTTAATCTGAAGGTGATCTGAAAAACCTGAACATGATTATCAATGATTTGTACCAGCAACCTAGGCAGTTCAGTTTAGTCAAACAGTATATGGTCTGTACTAAACTATTCTCCATAGATAGATCCGGTCACCGTCTCACCGACCATACTTGGTTACACATTCCCAGTGCTCAGGTGGCTGCATTGCATGTCTGTATCCACCCAAGAGCCAGCACCGACTCTCACCTGGATGCTGTATACACCGTTGACACTGCCAATATACAAATGCACATTACTACATGATTAATTAGCACAGAATGCTCAGTTTCTATCAACATAAGTATCATCAAATGTATCAAGATCAAGCAGCTTATCATCCAGAATGCTAGTTAACCATGACCTACATTGTGATCACAATGTCCATAGTAGTAGCAGTACAACTTGCTGCCGTTTTCAGCATGGCTTCGGCGACTCCGGCTCCGAGCAATGCGACGGCGACGACCAGCCATGGCCGGAACACGACGGCGCCGCCGCCGCCGTTCGGTGCCAACCACACCGTCGGCGAGGGCGCCGGCTGGTTCTTTGACGGCAATGCGAATGCTTCGGTCGCCAACTACTCCGCTTGGGCTGCCAACCGCACCTTCTACCTCGGCGACTACCTCAGTAAGTTCAAAAATTTTCAGAAAGTTTTGGCTGATTCGCTTGAAATTCACGCGAAATCCGTGTGTTCTCGTTGCAGGTTTCAGCACCAACACGGATAACACGGTGGTGCACACCACCAACGCCACCGTCTACAAGCTCTGCGGCGATGGCGGCGCGGCGGCGGCGGCCGGATGCAGCGGCGGCGGGTGGAAGACGGAGGAGGCGTTCTTGACGGTGATGCTGACGGCGGAGGGCGCCAACTACTTCTTCTCCGACGCCGGGGGAGGCGAGCATTGCCGGAAGGGGATGCGGTTCGAGCTCGCCGTCGCGCGCGGCCGCGGCCTCCCGCCGGTGCCGGCGTCGTACTACGAGCCGCTCTCCGCCGCGCCGCCGGCAGCCGGCTGTTCGTCGTCCATGGTGGTGGCGCTTGCTGCCGGTGTTGCCATTGCTGCAATACTTGTACTCTGAAGTCTGAATTTACAGGTACAGATTTTCGTGCATAAGTAGATTGTAGCCAAAGTTTACAAGAATAAAAAATGTGAAATGCATTCACAGAATTCGTCAAGATTGTTACCGCTAAGATAATGATAGTTCTGTAAAATTATGTTCCTTGAATCGTACAGAACAATTTCCTGACTAGTGAAGGGAAGGAGCATCAGAGGTAAACTTGGAAACGCGAGCTTAACTTCTGATGGCTTCATTTCTGAATTTGGGGAAACGTGCTAGCAGCCAAATCAACAAACAACAAGAATTTCACCACGAACAACTATCCAGTCAACAGTGCTGTTTTTGGAGGTGGAAGATGATGAAATACAGGGGTTCTAGAAGGTTCTAGAAGCTAGGGAAATGGGAGGTGGAGGAGGGAATAGATACTCGACGAGGATCTAGCCCGGATCCAAGCCGCCGCCGCCGCCGATCGCCAAGCCGCTTAGGTTGGTCGCCGTCCTGCCCCTTTCTGTGTTTTTCCTCCCCTGAAAGAACCGATGCTGTTGCTTTTGTTCTTTACCTTGGGTTTGCTTGGGCCAGCTTGAATGAATGGTTGTACAGGCCCATTGGCAGCCCACTCGATTCCTAACAATCCCCTCTTCTTAAAATTCGACTTGTCCGCAAGTCGATGGCAATTAAAATTCTGAAAATGCAAACCACCCGGATCCCATGGCACTTATAGCTCTTGGATAATCAAAATGATCAGGTCATTCCCATCACTATTGCCCTTCCTTGTAATGAGTAATGACAATATTCCACTCCAGCTTAGTATGCCTTCTTCACAGTGCTCATATTTTACCACAAGCTTAACAATTGTGCCTCTTGTTTTCAGCCTTCCAAGAATAGTTGGCATAGCAACATGACATAGCAAATAAGTGCTAATATTTGGCTTGTAAATGCAGAATTGCTTGTCACCTTCCAAGACTGATCTGATGGTTGGAATAAAAACATTCTTCCATGCTGAAATTATATTCTTGCTTGCACTTGGCTTGATCCCTTGCATTCTCCATTTGCTGGTACCATCTTCTAGTATAACTAGAATTCCCTTGCAGTCCCAAGTATCCTGAACATTGTTGCCATCCAAGTGGCTTATATCACTAATAAGCCTGCTTTCAATAACCTCAAAATATTGTGCCATCATATAGGAGGTGAATGGATTTTTGGATGCCGGTAGCAAGTCATCTCTTTTATCATCACTTGGGTCTTGAGTTAATAGCACCAACAAGGCAAGCTCATGCATTCTAGAAATTTCAACAACGGTGCAGCTCCTGTAACTAACAAAATCCCACTGTGCCTTCCAAGCAAACAGACTAATTGCCACTCCAATTTTCCAGGACCTGCATTGCTTAAGTCTAATTGGCGGTGGCCATGGTGGTATTAGACATACACTTGTCTAAACGGAATCAAATGCAGACCATGGAACATGCCACACATTCCCTCCTCTAACCACACCACCTGACCAAGGAAGTGGCCAAGGTTTTCTCTTGGGAAGCCCCGCCAGCAGCCTCTTGTCACTTTTGAGGCATTTCATCAAACACCCGTTGGGCATCACCAATTTTATGCAGAAAATGGAATCCAGCTTTTCTGCCATGACTAGCATGGGCTCCTTTGGTGCTGCAATCATGTTCAGTGTGTGAAACGGAAAGGGGAATGCAACCTCGGCCTGAATAGTACCGATGTTGTCTTTGAGGCTGATTGTCGTACACCTTGAATGCATAACCTTGGTGAGGTCAGTAGTATTGATGAAAATAGAGCAGGCCTTGTCCTCGCTAACCACTGTCTCCATGGTGGCTGCAGCAGTGGTACTAGCAAACGACTCCTCAAGAATGGCATGATTCACACCGGTGTCATTGTCGAAGCAATTTACCAAGCACTTGGTGGGCGTCACTGTTGTAGTACCAATGCCATGGTTCAAACTCACCTGCAAGCCCATGGCGACTGTCGGAGTAGGAACATCGATGTTGTGGCTTGCACTTGTTGTCGTGTACGCACTGGCACTGTTGGAACACGCCCACGAACACTTGGCGAGCACTGGAGTAGGCGAGGTCGGGGGTGTTGAAGATGATGCAGAATTGAAGATGGAGGTTGTCGCCTTGATGATGTTAGTTGTCTCCTCGAATGATTTGCGCCTATTAGCTTCTATCTCGTCAAACTTCTCCAAAATCTGATCAATCTTCTCATTGCACCTACGCTTGGTCTTCATTTGTTCAAGCTTCTCCAATATCTGATCCAGAGCTTCATCCATCATTTTCTCCTCTTTGTTCATGGGGGAATTGATGGGGACGGCCTTAGATATCTTGAGATCTTCTTGGGACACCTCTCCTTGGCTTGACATTTCACCGAACAGGTTGTGGGCGTTGGTGCCATGAGCAGTAGCCTTGCCCAAATCCAATGACCAACTGCACGGGACGCCGCAGCGGTACTTCCCCATTGCCTCCATGCTTGAAATCCCATGGATCAGCGGCTCTGATACCATATTTTTAGCAACCAAATCACCAAACAACAAGAATTTCACCACGAACAACTATCCAGTCAACAGTGCTGTTTTTGGAGGTGGAAGACGAGGAAATACAGGGGTTCTGGAAGGTTCTAGAAGCTAGGGAAATGGGAGGTGGAGGAGGGAATAGATACTCGACGAGGATCTAGCCCGGATCCAAGCCGCCGCCGATCGCCAAGCCGCTCAGGCTGGTCGCCGTCCTGCCCCTTTCTGTGTTTTTCCTCCCCTGAAAGAACCGATGCTGTTGCTTTTGTTCTTTACCTTGGGTTTGCTTGGGCCAGCTTGAATGAATGGTTGTACAGGCCCATTGGCAGCCCACTCGATTCCTAACAAAACACTTCTCCCACAATGAAAATTACATTACAATCTCGAATCTTCTGAATATTTAAGGTACGGAGTCGGTGACAACTCGCTGCTGAAAATTTTACGAAAATGCAACTCATGCTGTACGATCTGTATCAGACATACGGCTGAATACATGATAAAATGAGATCGACCCAACTACTAATGCATTGCACCATTTGGAATTAATACAAGGAAAATAAAACAACCTCAAAACATGGCGTGTTGGTCGGAAACTCTGAAACCAAGCCTGAATTGCAGTGTTAGGCTTCAAGCACACCGATCAGAGATCAGGATAGGGAAGAGCCCAAAACCCAATGCCTTCCCTGAGGTCAGAAAATGAACACCGCAAAGTTGAGGTTTCACTGAAGTCTCGTAGTGCTTCCATTCCTGTGACCTTGAGATTATGAGTAATTCAATCAGAGTGCAGAGATAATCAGGAGACAATTACATTGATATGTAACAAATCCTGTGAAATGCTCACCGTATAAGCTAGCAGTCCGATAACATATCCTGGCCATCAAATATTCTTAACAATCAAAGTGCCTGAAATTGTAAGCTGTGGAGACATGCAAATGCAGACAAACGTGAGAACAAATGTGGGGTCAGCTAGCCATTGAGGGAGAAACAGAAAGAGCATATGGCATTTGCACACATACTAGTAAAATACCCAAGCTTTGCTATGGGTAAAATTCCATACATATTTAAATATATGTCATTAACTTGATTAAAAAATATTGAACTATTACATAATATCAGAAAATATTAGGCACTTATTTGTAAAATATGCAAATGTATGCTGCCAACTCACCACCACTATTGTCTTTTGTAGTAGTACAGATATATATACCTGGTGAGCAACGAACATCCAGAGTCTGTAGCTGCAGCTGTGGGATCAAACTATGAATTGGGAGCTTTGGGCATCCCCAAGGCTTGAGCACCGAGAGGGAAGTGAGGCCTGAAAGTCCATCGCAGTACTGCAGTTTTTCGCAGCTCAAGTTGAGCTTCTTGAGTGAAGGCAGGTGCTGTGGCTGAAGAAGGATGCTTGTGGTGTCATGGCAGATGACTGTTAAACACTCCAAGGACGGGAGGCGATTCAGCCGCGGACCATCAGTTGAGCTTCTGCGCAAGTCAAAGCTCCGCCGATCAATGCGCAGCGTGCGTAGTGAAGTCGATGCAGGAATGGTTGTGATGCAGCAGCATTTGTCCAGTTCGAGAGTTATCAAGGATCTGAACGGAAATGATTCAATGTTATCAAGCCTTAGACTGTGGGCATGGCAGATCGAAAGAGTGCGCAGGCGTGGAAATCCACCGTCAACAATTCCAGACCATTCTGACCACTTATGCATCCAATTGAATCTCAACTGTGTCAATGATGGGAATCCCTTAACACCATGAAAATGGCTGCAAAACTCCCAGCCAATTCGCTCGACAATCATCATGTCATGGATATGGAGGGACACGAGGGACGGAAGATCACCGAGCGTTGGAAGGTACTGAATGTGAGAATAACCGAGTTCTATTTGAGACAAGTTGGAAAAGGAAGCATCGCCCAACCAATAGGGATACTTCAGACCCTCGTAGTTCATTATTATCAATTCTCCGAGGTTGCGATGTGGTCGCAGGCTCTCAAGTAGCTGCACTTGTTGGTTGTGATCTGGACAGCAATCTCCAAAATCCAAGCTTAGTAATTGTAGGTGCCTTTTGCTCTGTAGCCTAGCATCCTTTGCTCCATCGATAGTCAAGTGCAGTCCCAACCCACCTATTCTCAACTCCCTTAGCTTGTTCAAGCTCCTTAGCTCTATTATTCGATCATTTCTCAGATGAATTGGAGGCAAAGTAAGCATGTTATTTAGGTGCCCAATTCCACGTAGTCCATCAACGTGGTCCCAGCATGGATCAGAGTGACTAAAGAAGCTTGTGACAAGTTTCAAATGGCGTAGTAATTTCAACCTTCCCATTAAGGCAGGTAAGTTTTGATCCAGACAGCCTTCACCTAACACGAGGGCTCGTAACTTTTCACACTTAGAAAATAATGCTTCTGAATTATTAATGTTCACTTCTGCTCTAGGCAACACTATGATGGCCCTCAAAGCAAGTGGTGTGATTGAAATCTCACTGGATGCCAAATTTTGGATAGATATGTACCGAGCATTTTGTGGAATTTCAATGGATGTACTGCTATCATCAAGTCTAAAGAACTCATCTGCAGAAAGAAAGCATGCAAGATCGTGAATAAGATCATGCATTAAGTATTTCTTGTAGTAATGTCCATCAACCTTTGTTAGAAGAAATAGAAGAAATGACCGCTCAACCAATTCATCGAGATATCTATTTCCAATTTCAGTCTCATTATTATGTCTGTCACTTTGAAGGAGGTCTAGTACTTTCCACAATTGAAGCACCTGGTTTCTATCGAATATATAGTCTTTTGGATATAGAGAGATGGCAACAAAACATCGTTTTAGGTATATAGGCATGTTCTTGTAGCTCAACTCCAAGGATGGCAAAACCTCATTCCTTGGTTGCTCCAAGTCCCACAACTCGCTTTCTATGACATCTTTCCATCTCTGTTCACATGTTTCATAGCACAACATGCTGGCTAGTGTCTTAATTGCTAAAGGTAAGCCCTTACACTTTTTAACAATAGACATTCCGATCTCTTGAAGGTTTGGAGTGTTTCCATTGTCAACAGTAAAAGCAACTTGCTTAAACAATGACCAGCTCTCTTCAGAACTTAGGCAGTTTAGGCTGTAGAAATTAGGCATTGTCTGCACAAGCTTTGCCACTCTCTCACTACGGGTTGTTACTATAATCATACATAACTTTGCTGTGTTCATCGGTTCGCACAACAGATCCCAGCAATCTCTTCGTTCATTCCATACATCATCCAGCACAAGTAAAACCATCTTGTGCTTTATTCGTTTTGCCAATGTCTCATGAGGACTACAAACTTCCGATAGACCACAATTATCCTTCTCTAATGAACTTATGATGCTCTTTGTTATGTAAGTAGGATCAAATTGCTCTGACACACAAACCCATGCATGCATGTCAAAAAAACCCTTGTATCCTTGAGTCGTTATATACAAGCTGTGCCAATGTTGTCTTGCCTAATCCACCCATACCGACAATAGCCAAGATAGAAACTGGAGTAGCTACACTGTCACTCGTCATGGACAACAACTTTTCTACAATGTTGTCCTTGTCTTGCTCTCTTCCAATAATTTTCGGTGCATATATAACAGAGCTAGTCTTGGGTAGAGTACCAATATTAGGAGCAAACCGTCTCTCTCCATCATTCTCCGATAAAGTAAAATTATCAGAATAATATTGGATTTCATGGAATCTCTTAATAAGTTTCCTTGCTTTAAGAGCCAGCTCTTCTGGAACATGTACCATACCAGTATTATGGTACAAGACCTCATTTTCCTTTTTTCAAGATATAAAATGAAAAGGATTGCGTCACTATACTTGCATATAGTATATAGGAGTGTTTTTAAGGTGCACCAAATTACTATGACTTGTTTATTGTACATAGATCCAAGGGCTAATAATACTCCAACTTCATGTGTTAAGGGTAATTTATTGCCATTTAAATTCAGTTACTACCATAAATTGCAATTGTAACAAGATACAATATCCTTTGCTTCAATACTACCGAATTAAAATTAGACTGAAAAATGTTTTTTTTGACCCATAAACAAGGGACAACTCTTTTGATATTATTGTACTAGTAAAACTCAAACCATACAATTTTTAGACTGAAAATGTAGACTTTTTGGACCCACAAACTACCACTCAAAAGACTGTTAAAATGGAAAAAAAATCCATAAGGATTAGAACACACACAAATCGTAAATTTCACATTATCCATTGAAACTTCAATCTAAAAAATTCCTCTGGAGAAAAAAGAACTTTCTATATGTTCAAACCTTCTGTATTCAAGCTTTCTATATTGAATAAAATGCATGGACACTGGTCTAACTGAAACAGCTGTGTGTGTTTGTTCTCAAAACACATGCATAATGAGGAGGAAGTTTCTTTGGGCGGGGGGCGAAAACATCTCTGGCGGAAAATGCAAAGTTAATTGGAAAAGAGTCTGCAGGCCCAAAGACCTGGGTGGTCTTGGAGTCATGGATCTACAACGATTCACATCAGCACTACGACTCAGATGGCTTTGGAATGAATGGGTGGCACCAGAAAAACCCTGGGTGGGGACGGCACTACCGTGCAACAAGTTAGATAGAGATCTCTTCACGGCCGCAACACCAATAACGGTGGGCAATGGCAAAACTGCACGATTTTGGAGCTCGAAATGGCTGGATGATCAAACTCCGAAACAGATCGCCCCGGATATTTTTTGAGATAATCCATTATATGCCACTGACTTTGTCGCACGCCTACGATTTGCCACTGACTTTGTCACGTTCTACAATATGCCATCGACTTTTGCTTAACTTCTACGATTTACCATCGCCGTCCGGTTAGCCACCGTTAGTACTGTACAAATTTGTTGAAATGACCAAAATACCCCTATGACAAACTTCCAAAATTTGGATAAAATTATCAAAATATTATATTATAAACATAAGATTGTAAACATCCAAAATTTGACCAAAAACTTGAAATATGATATTTCATAATTTTTATCCAAATTTTGAAACCTTTTCTCCCAGGGGTATTTTGGTCATTTCGACAAATTTGTACAGTACTAACGGAGACTAACCGGACGGCAATGGTAAATTGTAGAAGTTAAGCAAAAGTCGATGGCATATTGTAGAACATGATAAAGTCAGTGGCAAATCGTAGACGTGTGACAAAGTCAGTGGTATATAATGGATTCTCTCATATTTTTTTGGCTTCTAGAAGAAAGAACAGAACAGTGAACGATGCCATATCAGAAAACAACTAGATCCGAGACATCGAAATATCTCGTATCACGGAGGCGAGCCACCTCCAACACTATGTCCGCCTCTGGACAATGATTAGAAACATGAGGCCGCTAAACGAAAATCAAGACAACATTCGATGGAACCTCACAGCAAACGGGCAGTACTCTACAAAATCAGCCTATAGACTCCAATTCCTCGGGGCTGCGCGATCCGTCTTCAACCAATCAATCTGGAAGGCCTAGGCGCCGCCAAAGTGCAAATTCTTCTCCTGGTTGGTCACTCAAAACAGGGTTTGGACGGCAGACAGACTGGAGAAAAGAGGATGGCAAAACCAAAAGATATGCCCACTCTGCTGCACGGTGGATGAATCGGCCCTACACCTCCTAGCCAAATGTAGGCTAACAAAGAGAATATGGACAGAAATCCAGAGATGGACAGGCACCGACCTTTAGATGGGTAGTTAGGAAACTTGTCACTCTGTTGGGCAGTGGTGGACTCTCGTAGCGGAGTCCCCAAACACCCCCCGCAAGCCTCTAAAGACTATGATTATTCAATCTCGTGGGAAATCTAGTGCGAACGCAATGCAAGAATTTTCCGAAACTCTGCGTCATCGCCGTCCTCAATCCTAGCAAAGATCAAGGAGGAAGGAAGAGCATGGGTCAAAGAATGGGCAACAACCCTATAGGAGTTCGGAATTCTGGGAGATATCACTTAGCTCTTTTCCTTTTTTGCGGGCTAGTCCTTTTCCTCGGCTAACCCTGTATATATCTTGTTTATTTTTCCCCTGCTCTATTAATATACACGAGGCAAAGCTTTTGACTTTCTTAAAAAAAAAAACGCATGCATACTAAGATTTCCAGTGTGTGTGTATATATTCATCAGTTTTCGGTTTCGCTGTTTTTTCCTCACCGAGGAAGTATAGTAAAGGCAGAAACAGATCGAAGTTGTTGGAAAAGACAGTGTTACCTCCTGTTGCCACTTACGCTTGTGGCTGGCCACGCTTGCAGATAGCTGGAGAGCCTCAGCCTTGCAACGGTTCACCTCGTACTCGTACTCGTCCACCACGTCCTCCGCGTCATACGCTAGCTCCTTGAGCTCCTTGAGCCGCAGCTTGGCGCTTTCATCACGGATGTCCCAGTGCTGCTCCGCGTCCTTCAGAGTCGCGTGAATCCTGTGCATCGTCCGCTCCAGCATCCGGAGGTCCTCCAGATCTTGCTCCTGCCCTTGCCTCACCATAGCAGCTGCCGACGAGGAGGATGCCAATAGGCTTCTTGCTGGCAGGATGGAGGAGAGCTTGTCCAGTGCCTTCCTGATGGCAAGAGTGGCAAACAGTCCGGCCATTGATCGTGATCTCTAGTGAATAGTCGATAGTAGAGAGGAGGGGAAAGGTGAAGAAAGATGGAAGGAACTGAGGCACTGAAAAAGATAAGGCTGAATAAAAGGTGTGGGTATGTATCTAGCTAGCTCGTCAACTCTCTCTCTCTCTCGTGATGTGGATCTGAAATTGTTAATGCGTGCCGTGCACATGTGTCATCAAGATCGGACTATCGGTGCACCAACTAAACCATTGAGTGACTGTTTAGTTCGCGAAAAGAAAATTGTTAGTTGTCACATCGAATGTTTGACCGGATGTTAGAAGGGGTTTCGTATGCGAATGAAAAAACTAATTTCATAACTCGCCTGAAAACCACGAGACGAATCTTCTAAGCCTAATTAATCTGTCATTAGTACATGTGGGTTACTGTAGCACTATGACTAATCATGGACTAATTAGGCTCAAAATATTCATCTCGTGATTTCCTCCTGACTGTGCAATTAGTTTTTTAATTTATATTTAATGCTTCAAGTATGTATTCAAAGTTTCGATGCAATGTTTTTGGAAAAAAATTTTGGGCGACTAAACCAGGCCTGAATATACGTCCAGACCTGGAGCTGAAGGCAACAACTCAACTAAAGTTTAATGGTTTGTACTTTGCAGTACACATTTGTCAAAATCACATGTTGCTTGGAGTTTTTTTTTTTAAAAAAAAGTTGTGTCAACACATACTAATTACATATGTTTAGGAACTTACAATATAAATACACGCCGACTATTTTTTGCTGAAAAATATGGCACCATAAATATAGCTACTCCCCTCCTTTTTATTCTCTTTTAATAATATATAACATACTAGCTATTCTACACAATGCGCAGAATTAGCAAAATAAATATTTTAAAGTATTTGCTTTAGGAAAAAGTACACCGAAGATCCCTCAACTTGTCATCGAGTTACAAAATCGTCCCCAACCACAAAACCAGATACCGGGCATCCCTCGACTAACAAAACCGTCCACTTTTGGTTCTTCGGTGGTTTTGATCCCGATTTTGTTCGATGTGGTGGCCGAATTAGCGTGGGATCCACATATCAGCGTGGCCACGTCAGCCTCCTCTCTCTCCCCCCCTCTTCTCTCCCTTCCTCATCTCTATCACTCTTCTTCTCCTCTCTGCGACTTGGGCAGGCCGGCCGATGGGTCACGCCACGCACAACGGCGATGCTGGCGTCGCGCGAGACGGACGGGTGCGCTACGAGGAGGGAGGGGACGAGGCCCACGAGGCGCCGAGGGGGAGAGGAGCTGCGGGCGGCAGGGGAGGCGAAGCGCGTGGGCGGCGGAGGAGCGACTACCAACGGCGAAGGAGCAGCGTGCGGGCGGCTGCGGACGATGCCGAGTCAGGGTTCGTCGACCCCGCCGCCGCCACCGTGGCCGCGGACTACGTTGACGTCGACCTCGGCATTCTCGGCGGCGGGATGAACTACATTAGCTAGCTCACCGACTAGCGTCCGGAGTCCACGGCCGCGACGGCACCGCCGCCCACGCGTGCTGAGGGCGACGTCGTCCGTGGTCACGGCGACGGCAGCGCGGGTCGATGAACCTCGACACGGCGTCGTCTGCATTGTTATACCAACGCTGGACTACGAGTGGAGAGCCGCGCTGCGTTGGTGGAGCAGCCTGTATCGGCGCATCGCGGTGGGGCACGGTGGCCGGCCGGTGAGGCACACACTGATGACCTGGGATGAGGGTGAGCGTTGCCTCGGCAAGTAGGAGCTCGCTCGCCGCCGCTCAATCTGGCAATGGATAATGAGAGAAGAGAGTTGCTCCCATCCAGCAACTTGTACCGGCAGGTACTAGTACCGAAAGGTACAGAAATAAATCCATCCGCCCATCTTAGAAGGGTACGATTAGGAAACAGAAAAAGAGAGTTGGGCCGCCGCTTTCTCATCTAATCTCCTTTTTTTTCCTCCCTCTGAGTGCAGCCCCGCCGTGCGCCGGGAGTTAATCTCCCGAGCGCAGTCAAGAATTTATTTCTTCTATCCTCTTACCATTTTGCAGTCACTCAATGTAACTATCCATGATTTATTTTGAAGTCACTCGAATTGCTGTAATCAGTAAATGATAGGAGAGGGTTTTGAACATTTGAACATTCTTAGAGAACAAGCAATGATTGAGCTCATCAAAACACCAAATAAATCGTACAATACAAATCCAGGAAGCAATGAAGAAGAAGAGCATATGCAACCCAAAAAATGAAATTATCTGCTGCTGCAACCAACAAACCCGCTGGCACCACAACGCCGGCTCCACCACCTCGTCATCGCGGTGGCACCAGCCACCGCCACCACCTCGTGACCACAACCGCCACCAGGCCACCACCGCGCCCGCCACCAACCACCCACTGCCGCCGCGACCTCCACCTCAAACGGATCCGTCGTCGCCGCCACCGCCTCGACTCCTATGGACCAGTTCGCCGCCGCCTACTACAGATCAACTGCCGCCGCCGCCGCCGACTCGCCTCCCCCGGAAGCACCTCGCCGCCGCTGCCCACGGATCGGATCATAGGGGAATCGGTGGTAGAAAACCCTATTTTCTTCCCCTATACACTCCCTACGCGAAAAGACTAAAATACCCTTTCACCACTCTAAATACTCCGGTACCACCTCATGGGCAAATTTGTACCTGGAGGTACCGCAAAATTTCCACCGGCCGATTGAGCTGATTGAATGGCCGAGATTTGGTACCGGCCAGGTACCGAGGTGCCTGCTGGATGGGAGCAACTCTCATTAGAGAAACAATCAACAATTAGGACTGATATGTAGACGAGAATTGAAATTGCCAACTTTGATTCCTGGTACGTCACAAGCAAACCATGTGCAGGATGGCCGGAGTGGCAGGAGACGCTGCAGCTGGCGCCGGGGATGCTGTCGCTGGACACGTCGCTTTTGTCGTGGAACAACTCTGGCGTGGCAGAACGGTAGCACATCATCTTTGATCTCGCGCTGGTTCGAGTCAATTCGACACTAGAGAGAGGAGCACGAGCCTCTAGCCCCGCCGCCGATGGTGCTCGCGGAGGCGGCGCTGTAGCCGTGGCTGGCGGTGTAACCACGGGAGCTGAGGGTGGAGCTGGGCCGGCAATGCTCCCGCGTCGTCACGCGCAGAGTGGAGCTCGACGCCGCGTCGCGGGTGATGCCGGGGTCCTTCCTGGCCAGGGTCGACCGCGTGGCCGTTGCTGAGGTCGAGCTTGTCGCCTCACCATGGTCTGCCCCTGGGCTCGACGCCGTTGTGCGTGGCGTGACCCGTTGGCTGGCCTGCCCAAGTCGCAGAGAGGAGAAGAAGAGTGATAGAGATGAGGAAGGGAGAGAAGAGGGGGAGAGAGAGAGGAGGTGTGGCCATGCTGACATGTGGGGCCCACGTGGGTCCCACGCTGACTCAGCCGCCACGTCGGACAAAAGCAGGATCAAAACCACCGAAGTACCTAAAGCGAACGGTTTTGTTAGTTGAGGGACGCTTGGTATCTGGTTTTGCGGTTGGGGTATGATTTTGTAACTCGATGACAAGTTGAGAGACCTTTGGTGTACTTTTTTCCGTTGCTTTATGTGACACTCTAGTCAAAACCAAGGCCGGTTTGGTTAATGGGCTGGTGGTGATTTGGCCCACTTGGTGCTGTGGCTAGAATCATCCTGCAGTGCTAGATTTAGGAGAGGGTTAATTGGATCCATATCACTCTAATTTTGTCAAATTAAAAAAATATCACTACAATTCGTTATATCAATTACATTACATGTCACTAAAAAATTTTAAAATTGGAACCATACCACTCCCGTCACTTTTTCCATCCTCCTCTCACGCCGTTCTCATCCACTCATCCCCCTCCCAGTGAAGCAAGCGAGGGCGGCGGCGTCAGCACCGACAGTGCGGTAGTGTGCAGGGGTCGCGTTGGGGCTCGTCGGCAACAACCAGATGAGGAGTGATTGCCGCCACCGAGGCTGCTGCCTCCTACTGCTCCTCGGCTCCTCGCTGCCCCGATTTCGCCGCCACTCCATAGGGAAGCTGCGGCGACAGTATTGCGCGAGGAACACCACCCGATTCCCTCGAGCTCCGCGACAATGAGGTGGTGAAGGGATCGACGCTGAGGCTCGACGCCGCTGCCGAAACGAGCGACCACGCCAGGGGTCGACGACGACGCAGCTGCTCGCCGCCCCGATCTGGTTGATGCTGCTCATCCAATCTGGATGCTGCTGCTTGCCGTTGGGGTTGTTGGAGTGTATAAATTGAACTGGCTGGGTGGCCCGCGCAATTGCACGACTAGCACCCAAACCAAATCATATTTTTTTTTATGATTTTACTTAAAATTTATTAAATAGCTATCTAGTTATATTACTGTCTTAGGACTTTGAAAGACCATACTTTATCATCCTCGTGTTTCTAATTATATAGTTTTTAAAAGTCACACCAGTTGCTACCCCTTATGTCATCTCATTCTTTATTTGCTTGCTCGATCTATCAATATTTCCATCATTCTTCTTAGAACCTTTAAAAATTGGATTTTATAGTTTTTAGAGTTTATTGTCACGTTGGGTTTCATTTTTATAATTTCTAGATGTCCTGTCAAACGTTGCTATTATACTCCTCTACAGCCCGTCCACTGTCTCTTCTCTTTGTTGTCATTGAGATTTCAAAAATCAAACATAATTATCATTTGGGTTCATTTTTTGCTTTCTAGAAGTCCCGCCAAACCGTCAGCGGCTTTGCCATTGTACTCCTCTACGGCTCGCCCGCTGCCTCTCTTCTTTATTAGCATTGAGATTTTAAAATCGAACATGATTATCATTGTTTTTTTTACTTTCTAGAAGTTCCAAACCTTTAAAAATTGGAATTGTAGTTTCATTTTTTATAATTTTTAGAAGTCCCATCAAACGATGCCACTGTGCCCCTCTGCAGCCCGTTCGCCGCCAACTCTTTATTGTCATTGTGATTCTAAAAATCGAACATAACTATCGTTGGAATTCATTTTTTATTTTCTAGAAGTCCCGTCAACCGTCGGCGGCTCTGCAAGTATACTCTTATACACCCTCTCTGCCCGCTGCTTCTCTTTTTTATTGTCATTGAGAATTTAA